TGCACTCATTTCACACGCTAGCAAGGTTACGCTCAAAGTTCTACAAGGTAGGCTTCAGCAGTATGTGGACTGAGAACTCCCAGAAGTACAAGCTGGATTTTGAAGGGGGAAGAGGAACTAGAGACCAAATTGCTAGTATGCACTGGATTATGGAGAAAGCCAGAGAGTTCCAGAAAATATCTACTTCTGCTTCATTGACTATGCAAAAACCTTTGACTGTGTGGAACACAACAAACTATGGCAAGTTCTTAAAGAAATGGTAGTGTCTGACCATCTTATCTATCTCCTGAGAAATGTATATGTGGGGCAGGAAGCAAAAGTTAGAACTGGATATGGAACAACTGATTGGTTCTACATTGGGAAAGGAGTACGACAAGGCTGTATATTGTTCCCCTGCTTATTTAACTTATATGCAGAATACATCATGCGAAAGGCAGGGCTGGAAGAATCCCAAGCAGGAATTAAGATTGCTGGAAGAATTATCAATAACCTCCGATATGCAGATGGTACCGCTCTGATGGCAGAAAGTGAGGAGGAATTAAAGAACCTTGTAATGAGGGTGAAAGAGGAGAGTGCAAAAAACGGCCTGAAACTCAACATCAAAAAAACTAAGATCATGGCCACTGATCCCATCACCTCCTGGCAAGTAGAAGGAGAAGATATGGAGGCAGTGACAGATTTTACTTTCTTGGGCTCCATGATCACTGCAGATGGTGAAAGCAGCCACGAAATTAAAAGACTCCTGCTTCTTGGGAGGAAAGGGATAACAAACCTCAACAGCATCTTAAAAAGTAGAGACATTACCCTGCTGATAAAGGTCCAAATAGTCAAAGCTATTTTTTTCCAGTAGCGATGTATAGAAGTGAGAGCTGGACCATAAAGAAGGCTGAATGCCGAAGAATTGATGCTTTTGAATTGTTGTGCTGGAGGAGACTCCTGAGAGTCCCCTGGACTGCAAAAACAAACCTATCCATTTTGAAGGAAATCAACTCTGAGTGCTCACTGGAAGGACAGATCCTGAAGCTGAGGCTCCAATACTTTGGCCATCTCATGAGAAGAGAAGACTCGCCAGAAAAGGCCCTGATGTTAGGAAAGTGTGAAGGCAAGAGGAGAAGGGGACGACAGAGATGGTTGGACAGTGTCACTGAAGCGACCAACATGAATTTGACCCAACTCCGGGAGGCAGTAAAAGGCAGGCAGGCCTGGTGTGCTCTGGTCCATGGGGTCACGAAGAGTCGGACACGACTTAACAACTAAACAACAACAATAAGTAACTGAGTGTTATGCTCTTGGCCTTCCACATCGCAATTAAGCAATGGAATTCTATCCAAATTTGTGGATAGAACAAATTTTGGTATGAAGTATGAGTGACAGTTCAATATGATCTTTAATGACTTCTATGCAGACAGCATGCTGTAATCACTTCTGTTAGAAAACATTACCACCATTGAGATACAGTGGTGCCCCGCTTTACGATTACCTTGTTAAACAACAAAATCGCTTCACGACAAGGTTTTTGCGATCGCAAAACGATGTTTCAAAGGGCGATTTTCGTTTGACAATGATCGGTTCCCTGCTTCGGGAACTGATTCTTCGCATTATGATGATCTAAAAACAGCTGATCATCGGGTTTCAAAATGGCCACCCACTGTGCAAAATGGCTCCCCGCTGTTGTTAGGATGGATTTTTTGCTTAACAGGGATCGGAAAATGGCTACCCTATGGAGGATCTTCGCTGGACGCTGAGGTATTTCATCCATTGGAACACATTGAACTGGTTTTCAATGCGTTTCAATGGGGTTTTTTTCCCTCGCTTGACGATGATTTTGCTCTACAGCAATTTTGCTGGAACGGATTATCGTCGTCAAGCGAGGCACCACTGTATTAAAATTACACATTATAGAAGCACAAAAAATTGAATGTACAGAAACCTCAGGTCTTCCTATAACAAAATTCATAAGATATATAATATCTGAAATAAAACCCATTTGTTTCTCTGTCTTTTTAACAGTTACGGCTTAAAGGTGGACATTTGGGCTGCAGGTGTCATTACATATATACTGTTATGTGGGTTTCCACCATTTCGTAGGTAAGTAGCAAAAACTGATATGTTTCTTCCTGCAGCACACCAGTTCCAGCTTTGAAATCATAAATATGTCTCCATTCATTGCTGTTAGAGCAGGATTCATATCCCCTTCATTCATCCTTCATGAATTCACCCAGTGTTTTCTTTATATGTTACTGATAAATTCATAAATAAGAGAAAACTAAATGGAGTATTGGAGAGTATTGGCTCCATGTCCCTTGTCCTCTTGTCCTTGAGTCTTATTCTATGTGCCATATTAAGCATGCAGAGCCTTCCCCCTTGTGGTAGAACCTGGACTGGCATCCTTGATAGTGTAATTTTTGAGTCTAAAAAAATTGACCTAGTTGATATGTCTTAAAATACCCAGTGTTATTAACTGTAAATTTCCCCACAGTCAGAGTAGCTGGACAACTTGAGCCAATTCAATTATTTGTAGGATGTGAGGTGTCAGAAGTCCAAGCCTTTAATGCTCCTGCAAGTCAGTGTCTAAAATGGGCTTGAGTTTCATGATGAAGAGACATCCATAGACCACCCAAGTACATTCCATTGATATGAGCAAGTCAGCTCTCTTTCTTGGAAAATGGGCATGGGAACTGGAAGGCTTCATCAGTTATAATGAGCAAGTTGCCCTACTTTGGGTAACGCAGCTGCTCTTGGACTGCAACTCCCAGAAACTCTGGCCAGCACAGCGAAAGCTTCTGGGAACTGCAGTCCAAGAACACCACAGTTAGTAACTACTGCTTTAAAGCATAAGAATCCATTAAAAGGCAATTGAATTTTTAAAAACAGTGCTTATGCCAACTTATTCAAGCTGCTTCTAACTTGAATTGCAGAGAAAGCCTATATTTTTCTATTATCAGTTTCTGCTGCTGTAGATACTGTAGGTAGCAGAGGATTTTGTTTTATATTTCTTCCCTATTTCTTATTTCTTCCCTATTCCTTGTGATTACACAGACTGTTTTCAGGCTGCCAAGTCTGTCTGCATGTAAAGTATTGTCACAGAGTTTAGAATAAAGTTTAGAAAAGTTTTTTTTTGAGGGGGGGGACTTCCATTCATAGAATCTGCCAGTGGCTGGCTGGGGCATTCTCAGAGTGGTGGCCCAAAGAAGCAGCTCTATAGAGAATCATTTGTATGGTTATGTAGTTAGCTTTGTTTTTCAGTAATAGAGATAGTATGCAACACTGAAATGCTTTGGGATCTTCCTTCATTGTGAATCAGCTGGAAACTCATGTCTTCTCTTTACTCTTGTGACTCCAATTAACAAAGTCAAAAGCTATATAAGAGTGGAACTTAGGACATAGTGCTATATATCTACTTAGGTTTTTCAAAATGAGGATGCTGATTTTGCATATTGATATTCTGAACACTTTTTTGCCCTTCTTGGTCTTAATCCACAGTGAGAATAACGTTCAAGAAGATCTCTTTGATCAGATTCTGATTGGAAAGTTAGAATTTCCATCCCCATACTGGGATAACATCACTGACTCTGCTAAGGTACTGGAAAATTTAATAATATTAGAGCTGAAATAAGGGTGTAGTCCTCTCTTCACTTGTCCTTGCATGCAATCTTGAGCAAAATTATTCAAAAGAACAACAATTATTTTGCACAAAGGAAGCAAAATTGTGCAAAGAACATTTAAGACAAAATAACTCTGTAGCACAAGTAATGCACAAAATGTAGATGGCTGCTGTTTTGTTGCATGGACATTTAAGTATTAAAATCTCTGAGATGTTGCTTCTTTTTTTAAACAACCGGTGCTTTTGCTGCTCTTGATGTGTGTACGTGTTTTGTTTCCTAAGTGGAAGGGTATTAGTTTTGTGCAGATTACAGAAACACTGCCCCTGCAAGAAAGAAAACAAATGAAAGAAACTCTCCCCTTGAGATGAGATGGCTTGGCAATTCTTCATAGTAATATCTTATTGAGTTAGGGCAGCCTAAGCTGAGGAGTACAAAGAATTCAACAGTACATCCATAGGCTGATCCAACTTACTCAGGTACCACATCTGACTGCAAAGAGCTTGAATCTTTGCTGGAAAAATGTTGAGCCAAGAGTTTCAAGTATGTTGCTTGCTGGTATTATTTATACACAGTGATTGTGCTGATGTACTCAGATCTTGTAAGTTACTGCTTACAAACAGCTGGTCACTTACATTTATTTTCTTGTTATTTTAACAAATTTATATGGACATAAAAACTGTAAATAATGAGTGATAATATTGCTTCTTTTGTGGTATAACTATGACTTTTAATTACCTCTGTACTCATGGGAATATACCCTAATTAAATAGTGGAAGAAGAATACGACATGATTCAAGAGTTGGTTGTAGTGTCTCCCATGTACTGACAAGGGGATGGTGGCAATATTGATGTGGGCAAGAGGAGAGTATTTTTTTCCATCAAATATCAATGGCTGGTGGCAGACATTTTTTAAAAAAACCTCTCTAAAATGTAACTTTTAGTTACTTTAGAGAAATGGAAAGGTAAAAACAATTTAAACAATGAACTGTAACTTGCTACTTCATGGCATCTTGGAAGTATAAGTAACTTTACAAGCTCTCCATCTGCTGTCATTGATAATGGTCCAACTTCATTCCTGTGGTCTGAGTGACTTGCTTTTTCTCTAGCTATATACATTGTTGCTGCAGGCCATTTATTAAAAAGGGAGGAGTGATTGTCAAGGGAGAAAAAAATGGTAGATCAGTACCATGCTGCTTATTTATTTTAAATCTTTATACCTCCAGCTTATAGCATTACAGTATATGATACTATATACTACTACTGTATACTATTGTACTACTTTTATGATAATAGTAGAACACTAAATAATTATTTCATGGTAGAGGATGGCCAAGAGAAATTATGTGGGTATCAGTTTGTTATACTAAAATATTTCTAAACGGCACCTCACTGCAGATATAAGCATAGAGTCCAAAAAGGTAACTAATCCTCATGACGAGGAGGAAAAAATGTGCATGGAGTGAGTTGTAGAGTATTTCCTTACCTCAATGGGAATGCCAATGTATTCAGAGTTTAGAAGTAGGATTAAATATATAGCTTTGTAGTCAGGGGAGGGGTTTTAAAGTCATATTTTGCATTTCTTGGGAATTCCAGTGTCCAAGTTTAGACAGAACCTGGAACTTCAGTGAATGCTGCTATTCCCTTGACTAGGAAGGGAAAACTAGAGGGGAAAAATTGGGAGAGGCAGCTTCTAATTCTATTATGATTTTAAGCTCATTTTCCTCATCTTTTTTTTTTACTTTTCAGGAGTTAATTAGTTTGATGTTACAAGTAAATGTGGAAGCGAGATATACAGCTGCTCAAATTCTTAACCACCCTTGGGTATCAGTGAGTACAAAACATTTTTATAATTACATTTAAGCAAAATTGTTTTTAAAAAAACCTAACTTGTTTTAAGCCCTACACTTCTCAAATGCAACTTGGCATATGCAGTTGAACAGATACTGAAAATCAGAGTAATCACATACTGTAAGTCTGCACTTAAGCCACTTCTATAGCATCTTTTCTAAGGAATCCCCCTTTTAAAAAATGCTGGTGAAGAATCTTGCATAGTAGTTTCATTATCTGTATTTGCTGACACACAGACAAAAGGCCAGTGTTGATCGTGATACAGTGGTGCCTCGCTTAGCGACATTAATCTGTGCAGCAAAAATCGCTGCTAAGCGATTTCATCGCTAAGCGATTTTAAAAAGCCCATAGAAACGCATTGAAACCCCTTCAATGCGTTCCTATGGGCTCCAAAACTCACCTTAAGCGAAAATCCTCCATTGCGGCGGCCATTTTCGGTGCCTCTAAAGCGAGGCAAAACAGCAGGTGGCCATTTTGGAACCGCTGATCAGCTGTGCGAAAATGGGGGCTTTGCAATGATCGTGGGGAAGCAATCATTGCAAAGCCCCGCCGATCAGCTGTGCAAAAATGGGGGCTTTGCAATGATCGCGGGGAAGCTGTAGCTGTATTGCATTGGAATTAAAAAGTGAATAACATCGTCATCACAAGTAATGATGTTTAGAAATGGTGAATTATTGTGCATTGATTTCTTAACATTTCTGCTTCTCTGCTATGTATGGCATAATGTTTATTTTCAAAAATATATTACTCCCAGATTACCATATTTTTCCATGTATAAAATGATACTTTTTCCTAAAATAATTAGAGAAAAATTGAAGGTCATTTTATACATGGAAGTAAGGGGGGATCAAAGTGCTTTGATCCCTGCTTTTCCCCTACACTTCCCTCACAAGAATGTGGAGGGGGAAAGCATTTCCGCTTTCACCTTATACTTTTGTTGCAAAAAGCTGCTTCCCCCCTACACTTTGCAGTGAAAGCAATACAGTGGTGCCCCGCATAGCGATGATAATCCATTCCGAAAAAATCATTGCTATACAGATTTGTCACTATGCGGGGCAAAAAAACCCATAGGAACACATTAAAAGACGTTTAATGCGTTCCTATGGGGAAAAAACTCACCTTTAAGCGAAAATCCTCCATCCTGCCACCATTTTCGGTGCCTCTAAAGCGAGGCAACACAGCGGGCGGCCATTTTGGAACCACCAATCAGCTGTGCTTCGGCGCTCTCTCTCTCTCTCTCTCTCTCTCTCTCTCTCTCTCTCAAGGAGAAACAGGGAAGAGCAAGGCTGTAAGGCTGGTTTGGCCCTTCTTCACCAAATCATTGTGATGACACAGGATTGGAACCTTCAGGCAGCAGATGGAGCCTCCCCTACTCTTGGGCCTTTGCTTCAACTCCTCTATTTGGCAGTCCTTAAGCCACAGGCTTAATTAAGCCACAGAGCCAGCCCGAAGCACAGCTGATGGGCGGGTGTTTGCAAAGATCGCGGGGAAGCCAGCTTCGCAAACCCCGTGCTTGCTCTCTCTCTCTCCCCTTGCAGGTCCAAGGCTTTCTTTCGGGGGGGGCCTTCCCCACGATCATCGCAAAGCGATTTTCCCCCATTTAAAACATCGCAATGCGATCGCTTTTGCTATTGCAAAAACTCCATCGCTATGCGGATTCATCATTAAACGGGGCGCTAGTTAAGTGAGGCACCACTGTATTGGGCTAGAAAAGTGTAGGGCATCTTATACATGGAGGTGTCTTATACATGGAAAAATACAGTAAATTCACATTCTACTTATTTTTTTAAAAGCCATGCTTTTATACTGTGTGGTAAAATGTCTTGCCTTCTGTTGTTTACAAAGGATGATGCCTCCCAGGAAAACAATATGCAAGCTGAAGTAACAGGTAAATTAAAGCAGCACTTTAACAACACACTACCCAAACAGAATAACCCAACCGCAGGGGTTTCTGTCATCATGGTAAGCAAATGCAACATTTCCATTAATTATTTTACTAATTTGCTATCAGACATTTCCCACTTCCCTCCTCCTTAGCAAATGCAATTGTTCAGTTCTTTCATTGAAAACAGCAGTGCACATTTATAGTTGTGTCTTTATCTCCCTATATAGTGGGTGCATTTTTAAGAACTATACTTTAAGAGGAGTTGCCCAAAAAATTGTTCTTATGGAGATTTTCTGTTCAAAAAGTATTATATCACCTATAGCAAATAGTTCTATGCTTTGTATGCTATCTGCTATCACTCAGCTTTGTTACATATAGTTTTTCACTTCCTAAACCCACGCTATTAGGATTTTTTGACTCATGAAATATAGCCACTTGGCAATGAAGTTCTTAAAGATGCTCTTCATGTTAGCACCTTTTTTTTGCACTGCATTACTAATACGCAGCACCAATAGGTATTGCCGTGTCCATGAAACAAAAAAAGCCACTTTAGGTTGGGGAGGAGCTTAGACTTTGTGAGAAGAATTTTATGTTGCCATGCCTATTTACATTTGTGAATATATAAGTTAATATGTGCCAGCTTTACAAGTAATATTTTGTTTTTGGATACAGTATAAGAATAAAATAAGTTTTTAAAACATAGACTGATGTTCTTGCTTGCATTTTATTTGACAGTTTGACCTGACAGTCTGAGACCTCAGAGCTCAATACTTTGTATTTTTGAGGCTATGGATAAGTCTGAAGGAGAGATCTGGTATAAAATACATTATTAAATAGACTGATTTGAAATTTTAACTCTTAGCTGCTTGTCAGTTTGCACGCCCTTTTTAGCTTGCCTCCAGTCCTTAATATAATGCAGCTTCTGGCTTCTTACTGGTGTGCAGTTTTCTAATTCTCTGACCTGAGAATTTCGCTTCCAGTCAGTGAAGCACATTGATATTTTAACTCTTAATTTTTCTTCTCGTCTCCTTCTGTGCTGATTAAGGCTGCCACCCTGAGAGTTTGTACTGAGTTTGTTGAAACTGATAGGGCAGGCTGCTTGGTAGCTGGAAAAAAATTGAATAGTTTTAATTATAAGACATTTTCTGCAATAATTATTGGGAAGTAAAACCACCACCACCCAGGATAAATTAGTAAAGAGAGTGTAGTAGGGAAGCCAATCAAATTTCAGATATGTTCCAGATATGTATGCCACTTCTAAACTAAATGCCTCACTGTATAATCCCAGATCACTTGTCATGTATTAGAAAGTGCAGGCTTATTGCATTTTCTTTGTTGATTTTTTCCTTGGTAATATGATAGAGAAATGTGGGCATCTTTATTGTGGTAAAATATTATACACTTTTGATGCAAAAAATGTCTTTTCATCAGGGCGATGCATAAATGCTCGTCTTACATAAACACAGGAAAAGAGTAAGTGTAAATCACTTGTAGTTTCTATTATGGGCTTTCTAATAAACTGCAGAATTATCTCCAAAGTCATAGTACTACTAGCATTCTAGCAACCAGGTTACATTACTCACTTCTGTATCTTGAAAGTGTAAATGGCCATTTTAAAAAGAAATAATAAAACTTAGAATATAATGGAGAGCAGGGAATATAGCAGAGTGAATTTTCCTTTTACCTTTTTTGATTTTTAATTTCTTGTTTCCAAGCCGTATAATGTTTTTAGGGCAACTGAGAAAGAATTGCTCAAACTAACAGCATGGATTATGCACTATAATAAAGTTACTGTCATATTTGCTAAGGGATCATTCATTTCCTTTTCCAGACATCATTCAGGTTAATGTCTTAAGTTTGTTTTTGTGTTTTTAAATAAAAGTTTTTCACTGAAATTTTGTGTTAAGGCAGATATGGCCCTCATGTGGTAGATAGACAGAATTGCACCAAAACATATTTGCATTTCCACGCTATGATTTAAAAAATACTTTAAGCCATTCATTGAAATAGCTTTAGTACTGCTTTTTTATTTCACAGTGGAATTTATGTTTATAAATGTTGCAATGCTATTGGTTCTGCTTCAAGTAAGTCTAGTGTCTGTCCCTTGCTTTCTTTTTTTGCTTCTTCTCCCAATGCCTGCATTACTTCCCTCTGAGTAGGTCCAAGGCAATGGTATGTACTAATTACAGTGCTTTTTGCCATGTTAAAAAATGCTGTTTCCTGGATTGAAAGAAAAGGACAAGTAACTCATTAGCAGTCTGAAGTGGGGATCATCTGTCATGTTTTATGTTGAACAAGAACATGAAAGGCATTCATTGCATTTATATGTTTGCACCATTTCTATACCATTTCAGCCATGCATGTTTCCTGCAGAATAGGGGTGCAGAAATTTTTAATAATGGAACTTCAAACTGTGGGTCCTCGAAGGAAAAGAGCTGCATCTTTCAGAACATTGCTTGTGGGATTCTTCTACTGATTCATGATTCCTAGCCTCCATAACAGTTACTGTATGTTCTCATGGATGTCCATTTCTGTGGCCGTCTCTTAAACTCACTAGGGTCAGATTACAAATTCTCTTGCTTATGGTGGAAACAATACTTGGGCATTTTTTATAGACAACAGCATTACAACTTTTGTGGCCTATAAGTGGGAGTGACAAGACTGCATGTTTGAAATGTTTCCTCAATAAATAGTAAACTATTTCCCTGCCCTTACAAAGTTAGTACATTAGGATAAAGTTTCAACTTAACCTTCTTTCTGATGTTTGTTGTGAATGTGCAGGCAATTGTTTTAATTGTGGATAGGCTAACCGTTCCTCTAACTTAGAATCCAGAAATGGTATTGTCCATGAAAAGACTGACTACTTAGAGTTCGATTATATCTTTAGGAGATAACATCCACACCTCCATGACCTTTCATTAAACTAACTGGAACATTAAAGTAATTCCAAATCTTGGGGGTGGGTGAGGGAAAATTTCATTACAAATAGTTTGCATCCAGATTTGGGCACATGCCATGGGGAAAAAACAGTAAGGATGTCCATTTCAGTAAATCTAGTTGCATGTACCAAAATTAGGATCAACCTCTATAACTTTTCTGCCAGTTAATTTTTTTCGAGGCTTATACTTGTATGTGTTTACAGAGTTGATATATCAGTAATAAATATTAAGTAAAGGGAGTTATAAACATTATTGGAGTTGTAGTCTTGCATTCTTTATACTTCATACATAAAATGCACCAATTTTGATAGCACATGTTTTTTCCAAAATGCTTATCTGTGTGCAGCTGCCATAAAATCTAAATCCAACTGTGTGAACCTAAACAAGCAATCATTTTCTTTAGACTCTTCAACAGGTGATCTCTCCTTACAGCAAAGTTTGCTGTATAGACTCAGAAATACTATAATAAAGCCAGAATTTCCAGGGAGAGTGACCATGACTTTGAGGACAGACTAGCATCATTCATTTATGCCTTCTAAAGGAAAAAATACACCTAGCAAAACTTGGTGCTTGCAGTTAATACGCCTGTTAAACTAATGATTATGTTAGGTTCATTTTAGACTCTAACAAGGTAAACATTTTATTCCACAGTCTAAAAGTTTCAATATCATTTTCAAGTCATAATGCTTCAAAACTCATTAGTGAGTGGATCTGTAACAATTGTTTAAATAAAAAGGTTTTCCTCTAATTACCAGCAAAAAATATGGGTTTTAAACTACTTTACTTGAGCTAGTTTGTGTTTGATACTGTTGAAAGGAGGAACACAAGGTAAGTATAATTCAACAAAACAAAATTCATGTTGAGTTCCCCCTTATTGACAAACTTGAGAAATTTCCTCCTCAGTTCTGCCAAGGAGGTAGCAATTATGTGCCCATATGCAAGTGTCCCACTAACTGCAAAGAGAGTGTGTTTTGCCTTTTGGTGGAGTACTATTGGTTCTTTTCATGACATAAGGGCTAGTATCTTGTACAGTATTTACAAGTGAGCAGTGCTCTGACTACAGAAACTGGTGTGGCAATCTGATAAGGTGCCAGCCTCATGTAAGCCCATGCATAACTGGCACCTCTTCACATCCCTATAGCTGCTTCTGCAGTTCTGAATGTTTAAATACAGTATTGAACAGAGTACTGGCCAATGTGTTGTCTATACAAGCCTTCTCTATTAGCCATATATTATAACTTAAAACTGTCATTATCAGCTGCTGTTCATCTTATCACAATGGCCCATTTTCTACTGGGATTTCGGGAATTGGTAGAGATTACACATTTGTTTCCGAAGTCTTTAACAGAGAAGACAAGGCTGACCATAAAGGCATCCATGTAAACAGTCTCTTACCTGCAGTTATTCGTAACACTTAATATGCTTGCTAATTTTATATTGCTTTTCTTCCTAATAGTACCATCTTTACCCATTCTGGTCAATCTGATTGAATGCTACAATTTATATGTTCTGGTCCTCCAAGAGAAGTTCCTCTGTTGACAATGTGAAATGTGCATCTGGATTCACAGTCCATCTGCCGCATAGCACTTATCTGAATCCCATTGAACTGACTTCATGTGTCTTGATGCATATCCATGTTAGGGCCACCAGTTGCGCTATTCTACATATCAGAACCCAAGTACCTAAAAAGCGTCTCCCCCCCCCCGCTTTTCTTCTTCTTTGTAACCATGCATGTATTCTTCCTCACCAGACTTGGAAATGAGAAGTTACACCTCTTTCTGTTTGAAGCAATTCATTTAAAATTGTTCCCATTGGCTTTACAGTAGCATGTTGTTCATGCAGTTCATGGTATTAATGCTCTGGGTGCTATGCATGTGATGAGAAAATGGTCTCCAAAAAGCATTTGGAACACCCACATTTGAAAAAGCCTTCTAAGGTTACTTCTCCTTTTCTTCATACTAATGCATGCAGGGTGTGTTTGTTGTATTCTATCATATACATGAATAGTGTAGTTAATGATGTGACCCCCTCCTCCCCACCCCTTTGTATTATAGAACACAGCTCTAGATAAAGAAAAACAGATCTTCTGCAACAAGCGCTATCAGGACTCTGGTCGAACTGCTGTGAACCAAACCACAACAATAAATGCTGCAGCTCATGAGCCTCCAATGGTTGGTCTTAAAACATTATTTCCTGCTGCTTCTGAGCCACTCAAACTATCTACACACCTCGTCTCAGCATGTCATGAGGATACTGCAGGATTTATTTAAGACACGGTCCACTGAAGTCCACAGCTAGGTCAGAAATCTATCCGCTACTGTTCTCTTGCCCTCACTACTGTAGTTTATTCACATCTGTTTGAAAAGGATGCAGGTAGTACGTACAGTAGTTTTTAGTGCTCTGGACATTGTTTGGAAAGTTACCTTGTTTTTAGCATTATATATAATTTCAACACTTGGATTTGAACGAAATAATTATTCTAGTGCAAATCATATCTTGATATGCAGACTTTACATTGAAATATTAAGACGCCCCATCCAGCCATCTCCAGAATGGTTTTTTAAAAAGTAGAAAATTAGAAGTTCTATTATTCTTTTATGCAATTTGGATGGTTCAGTTCTGGAGTTACTCTGGAGAGGCAAGATTGGTCCCAGTGGACAATCTGTACAATATTGAAAGGCAGGCTGTGTGCGTGAGAATGAATGTGTGAAACCGTGGTCCTAGGAAGGGGTGGGAGACATTTTAATATTAAATGATCTGGTTTGAAATTAAAGTTTAGATAACACAAACTTTACAATGTGGAATTTAATACAAAAATAACATAATGAAGGGGCAATCATTTTTCACTCTTTTTTGTAAGAAGACTGAAGGTCACAAAACCTTCAGCTGTTGTTATTCTCATAAGCTACTTTCTGCCACTGACACTTATCATTAATTATTACAAACAACAAAAACTGCCTAGAGTGGAAAGCTTGCTGCATGTGTTGCATTACCTAAAAGGGAGCAGTGTATTTAAAGCAAGCTGCCTGAAGCAGTGAACATCTGGTCACCTACACAGATTGTTTTTGCCTCCCCCCCCCAATTAGGCCACTTTTTTTGTACTGATGGAAAGAGGGTGGGATATTTGAGGAACAATTACTCTAAAATGTGCAATCAAGGGTAGAAGGGGTTGTGTCTTCTTAATGCTTGTTTTACTGTTGTATGTACTCTGTTTCCTTTTGCTCCTTTTAACAATTCTAAATCATTTTCTATTAGCTTTTATTTTACATTAGGACTATAAAACCTGCAATAAAAATTCTTCTTGAAAAAAGTAAATGGTATTTTGTAATGTATATATAATTGAGAAAGTAAGTCCAATATGGGTTGAGTTCCTTTTGGTCTATGTGGCAACTATATTCTCAAGGTTAACAATCTGGAATCGATTCAGGTTAGATGGATGAGCATTATACATACTGACTGTACCATACTTGAGAGTCCCACAGAACACAGAGCAATGTATTTCCAAGTAAATAGGTACAGGATAATGCTGTCTTTCCTTACACTGCTGAAGTCCCAATGTGGGCTATCTCCTCTTACATGTAAGACACAAACTTATATAATATAGATGGATGACTGTTGGTCCCCCTCCAAATTTGTCCCAAGGTCTGGCAGTTTCAAGCCATGATAACTGTAGAGATATTTATTTTTGCCTTAGCATAGGCTTAAACTCCTAGCTGCAGTTTTCCATGTGAGTTTAAGCCACCTGTGCTCTGTAAAATTAAGCAACCCATAGTAGTGCCAAACCTCCAATATCAAAGGCCTTGTTTGTCTTTGAAATAGCCAGTTAGTCCAGGCCAGTAGCACAGTAACTGCTGAGGTAATGAGAAGAATCATTCCATAAAATTCAAGCATCCTAAGAAGCTCCCCAGATATTTGGTCATTGTAACTGAAATGCTTTTTTCTTTCCTTTCATTTTTCACTGTTCGTTTTGACTTAAGTTTGGGACAGGAGGAGGAGTCCAGAGGCCTGTACCTAAGATTATTGGACAAGAAATGAGTGAGCTCTTCATGACGAATACCTTGCAGCCCACTGAAGTTCAGTGCTAACACTTTCTCCTTTCACACATTTCAATCCTCCTTTTTTAAAAAAAGCGTTGCATTTTTTGTGGTCTCCTGCATGGAGGCAGGATTCTGATAGCAATAGTAAGATGGGGTGAAGGCTGAACAGACTAATCAAATGAGAACTTGGTCTATACGATAAGTGCATGTAAATAACAACTAGATGGAAATGTTGCTAGTATGCAGATACTTGCTTGGTATTTTAGATGAAACTGGTAATTTCTATGCTTCTTAATTTGGAGCAATTTGCCTTCAAAATTCCCACTGTTTGTGTAGCTATGCCAATAGGACTGTATTACACTGTTGTAGGAAACATTTCTGGGACACTGGTGTACTGTAAATAAGTCACTTGCAAGACTACTCTCACCTACAAATTGCATGGGAGTGTGCTATTGTGGAACTGATGCTGATTGTGGGCCACAACTGTAACAATAAATGCAAACTGGGTGTTTGCTGTTCACGTTTTAAGGTTATCCAAAGACCTTCGCAGTTTAACACTCTTATCTATTAGTAGGATAAGATGACATGGCAATGAATGGTACATTAAATTACAAATGTCTTTTTATTTAATTTCTTAGTTCAAACTGAGTTTTTTCCCTCTCAGATTTTTACTTAAGGAGAGAGTAGGTGATTGCTGGGGAGTGGGACAATGGGAACTGCTTCAAGTAAGCAGCTGAAGAAAACTGTATTCCAATACAGATATAGAATGTAAGTTTCAAATCTTAATAAAGCATGACATACAAATATTTATGTAATACAGACCTACAAAACAGTACAATTCTTTACACAAATGTTTTCACATTATTCTGCACAGCAATCTTGTAGAAAAAGTAGAATTTAAGCAAGACCAATATAACATTGTTACCTTAGTATAAACTTTTATTCAAATTCATACGAACTGGAAGGGAGGCTATTCTGTATTGTCAACATGATAGGGTAAGGACTGTTGCAAATATGCCTTAGTTTCATAAACAGTACCAGATATGGCTTGTGCTACGCAGCTTTCAGAAGCTGTGTTTAGAATGGAAACAAAAGCTTTTGCCTCTATAGCTTCTGCAGGGCAGGTTTATCTTCTGGGTCCAGCCTTGTGGCTTATAAGCACATGACAGAAGTCTGCACATGATTTTAAAAGTTACAAAGGCTGATAATAGAAAGATATATCCTAAATTCTCAAAACATGGATTGGGTGTGCACAGTTAGGTATGCACTAAAATAAGAAAAGGAGAGAACAAGGACTTGTACTTGATACATCAGCTTTGTTGCTGATTTTTCTATCAATTGCACAACAAGCCAGCAAACGGGGGAAAAGCAAATCCAAACACTTAGAAGCATGCTTCATCATCACACTGTTGGAAACAAAATTACATTTATCATAATTTAAATATCCTTGATTGGCAGAAAATTCAGTGCTTGAAGTATTACAATCATTATAAAGGTAAAAGACAAAATGTGGTATGGATCAGCCCATGTTAAAACACCAGTATTGTAAGCAACTTCCAGTACAATATCAAGTTTTCATCCTTCAAATCAAATATTCCTTTAGATTATAAAGAATTTTATGAGAAACATGTTTTATAATAGAGCTAATACAAGAAATTTCACCATCTTAATTTAGGTATTTTCCCAATACATGGATCAAAATAGACATACTATGACTAAAAATATAGATTTTCTTTATAAGCTACAGAACCCAGCAGCTATTTTCTGCTTCTTCCACCCCCAAAAAAGTCAAGCAAGGTCTACAAAAATAGCAATTAACTTTTTAAAAATAACATTTCCCAGCGATTTAAAGTTACATTCAGATGTTACATAACTATTTATAAGAACTGAGGCTCAGATAAGATACTGAAGAGAGACTTGCTGTGCTTCAAGTCTCCATTTGAAAGCAACTTCATGTGCTGGTCTGATTTATTTTCGGCATCAGTATCTGGTTTGGTATTCATGGTGCCACCTGTTGAAATCATTGTAGAAAAGCACTATGCTCCCAGAAGCCATTCCTGTCATTATACACCTGTGAAAGAAAAAGCGCATTTAATTGTACACATAATTCTCGCAAAGCTATGCAGATAACCATAGTATCCCATAATCCCTAGATCTACATTTCCAGTAATTTTCCTGAAAGAACAAAATGTGAATGGATTCATTTGGGATGAAGAGGGGGACTACACTCCAGGTCTCAAAAAACACTTGGGGCTTTATTTAGATAAACTAGCAGTACTTTAAAGCATTCTGCAACTGAATGGAACAAAATCACATAAACCTTTTACTTAATTGTTTTTAAAATTCTGTATCTGGTCAGATAGATTATCATGGAATAAAATAATTGAACTAAGAATGGCACTAATATGTAAAATACAGTGGTGCCCCCGCATGACGACGATGATTCATCCCCCTGAAATCACTGTTCAGCGAAATCGCTGTCATGCGAAAAATAAATCCCCATTGGAATGCATTGGAAACCGGTTAATGTGTTCCAATGGGGAAAATACCTGATCTTCCTGCAAAGATCCTCCATAGGGCGGCCATTTTGTGATCGCTGTCTTCCGAAGCATGGGTCCAGAAAACAGCGGGAAGCCATTTTGCGAGCTGACGATCAGCTGTAAAGATCATCATCGTGCGAATAAGCGGTCAGCGAAGCACGGACCAAATCATCGTGAAGCAAAAATCGCCCATTGGAAATATTGTTTTGCGATCGCAAAAGCTGTCCGTGCGGTCAGCGAAGCACGGACCAAATCATCGTGAAGCGAAAATCGCCCATTGGAAATATTGTTTTGCGATCGCAAAAAAAAATCGCCGATTGGAAATATTGTTTTGCGATCGCAAAAAAGTCATCGTCAAGTGATTTTGTTGTTTAGCGGGGTAAGCATCTAGTGGGACACCACCATATATAGAGAGCAAATAAAATTATTTAAAACTCATCAGAATCCATCCTACACAAGACTGCCTTTATGGCCCACCTGTGTTAGGCAAAGATGGGCCAAATTTGCATTCCTGAGGGAGAGAGGTTCATAATTGGGATGTTGTCACAAAAAAGGTCCTGTTCCATTTGACTTGTACTCTCTTGCTAATGGGTCAATGATGCAGGTCTTTTGATAAAAATCATAAAGTGGGCAATTGCATCAGTGTTTTAGGAAGCTGTTTTCCAGTATTATTTTTTAAATTATTTTTCCTGATCTGCACTGAATGAACTATCATCAGATAAGGTCCCAAAGTTGGCTGATTCTCACCTTTGGTCATACGAAAGGGCCATGGATCGGATTCCAGCATCACAACCAGGATAGGCAAAAAGCTGCTTGAGGTCACACACTTGCCACACCATAACTACCCCATTGTCTCCACCTGTAAGCAGGTACTGTCCATCCCGGCTCAGCTGAATTGCCTTAGAAAAGGGAAAGGGGTATTTTAAAAGAACAAGTTTTACCATTTAACTTTGTGTTCCCTAAATCTCTTTTTTAAAAGACTGGATTATATTTGGTACAAAAGTTGGATAGATATATAAATAAAGAGAAAGCGGGAGGAAGGTAAACACATGCCAGAAAGTTTGCAACTATATTTTATGTGTTGCTCTAAAATTTACTAATTCAATATGGTGGCCTTTTCAATTTAATTAGATCTGAAGGATTTACACAGAAACAGTATACCAAAAGAGCACCTCCCCCTTATTTAAGTTCTCTTGGACAGGAAATACTATACAGGTCTGTATCCAAATAACAGACATTACTTTGCCATATACCTAAGGTGGCCTTGTATTTAAATTTCCTCACATGAACACTCATACCTAAGTTAGCAATCCCTTAAGAGTGTCTAGATTTTTTATTCTTTCTTTTCCTTATTGATAACTTCAGTTAGTTTGATATAGCGATTTCAAACTCATAATTTACTGCACTGCTTATTGAAGCAGTTTTAATATAAAATACACTTCATGTTTATAAGCCCCATGGAAAGAAAGCTGGTACCAATCTTCTATGCAGAAAAGCAGTTTTGAATTATTATTACACATTCTGTCAAATACATACTCTACTATGAGCACAACAATGGTTTACTTTAAACCCATGTGCATTAAATATGGAATAATCAAAATCAGCCACTCATTCCAAATTGAATTTTGCTTTAAAGCGTGATGTCCAAAATATATCTCATGGCAGTGGTACCGATTTCTTATAAGAAGACCCAAATATATTCTAGGTATTTTCTATATAAATATAAAAGAAACTACAGTATATTTACTATGGAGATATGCTTAGTGGGGGAACACATCAATCCTGGTATATTATACACAAGCAGATGACAATGCAGACAGGAGAAGGATGATGAAGCTTCAGTAAATTGTTTAAAAGAAAATGCTGGACTCATAATATCTAAGAAACCAAATACAATTACTGAAAAGATTATTCATTATAAGCAAAATCAATATCCATTTTATCCTCATTTCACAAATGGTGATCTCCTAAGGGTATTTTTGAAATTGCAGTGAAGGCCATGACAAATAATTATTTGCTACAGTTATAAAATTCATCTGAAGAAAATCCATTAACCTTATGGTTATGGTTCACTTGAGTGTTATACTGGAGGCTTTTTATCAGAGAAATGCTATATTAAAAGGCAAATTAAGGCCATAAATCTTTAAACTCTTCTACTACCAATGAATATACAGTGTATTTCTTTGCTCTTAAAAGATGGATTTGGAGTTATTTGCTAATAGAGTTTATTGAGTTACCTAGCAGTGGATGAGAAAAACACCGATGGGCCAAAACATACGAATATATTGGTGGGAAGTGTTATCAAGGTTTTGGGCCCCAGGGATGCTGTTGGTCTTAGATTTGGACTAGAGAAAATGAATTGATCTGATGTTCTGACATTGCCTCACTATGACAGTTAGCTAGGATTTTACTAAGCAATGATCTAAGGATCGGCCAAGTCTTCTTCCAGCATATATTTCAGAGGCATATACATTCTTCCCCAATGTGGAGTTAAGGAATGTTGTGTATTCTTTTCTTTCTGGCTTACACCCCTTGAAGAGTCTCAAAACTCTTGATTCTTAAGAGTCCATTATTCTTAAAAACCAGACCTGTCAGACTGACAAACTTGGTATAAAGCAGCATGAGCCTGTTAGACACTTGACTTTTAAAAACAGACTCAGGAAAGAAAAATAAATTGGTTCCTTTGGGTGGAATAGCATGCTGGCCTTGTTTAGAATAGAATAACTTTAGTTCTCTGGGCTGCCTGCCTACTTAGATTTAAGTTACTCATTAAGATATCTAAACATTGCAAGGCAGATCTGCTGTGATATCCTGTTAGTCTGTGTTCCGCTGAGCAATACAATATTTAAAACAAAAACAGGTGGAAAGCGTTGATTCGGCCCTGAGCATATCCAGACAACCTAAAAGTCCTCTTGGTAGCATTTTTCCCTACTTGTGTACAAGACAGTAAATTAGAAGATTAAGCTGTCGGAATATAACAACTGAAAACTTCAGCTTTGTCAACATCCTGTAAGCCAAGCCTATCATTTTATGGGAAAGTACACTAAAGAATTTGGACAAGGAACTAAATTTCTATTTCCTCCCCTTTACTCCATTTTTTTACCAGCAACAAACTGTGAAAGTGCTGGGCTCCAGTGCCTGTGGGCAGTGGGCAGAGACATTTTGAACACTCTTGTTTTAATCATTCTGTTGCCACTTGCCTTACGGCATAATAAAATACTGAACCTCCAGGGAAACGTCTGTGGGTTGCTTAAGACTAAAATTCATCTGGGGCTGCTGAGCAAAAATAACAGCATGGTTTATGTGTACTGCTAGCCTAGAGAGAACAGAATTTCCATTGCATAAAGCAACATTCCCTGAACCTTGGGAATGACAAACACTACAGAAATTGTTTTAGCCAGCAAGGGATTGCTAGATATTTTATAGATTGACTGGCCTACTTGACAACATAATCACAATGAAAACGACACATTATCAGCACAGTTGCTATAAGAAAAGCAAACTAAAAATACTAAATACTGGGAGAGTTATGGTAAAAAGACCATAAACACTTGAATGTGAACTGTGAATGGTATGAAAATTACAAAGGAGATGTATATATTATTTTTAATGCAAGTTGATATGTGAAACAAGTTATGAGGATAGAAAGAAAATTATTTTTCTTTTTAAAATTTCTCTACAAACCAAGTGGAATCTCTCTCTACACAATACAGGGTGCATGCATATAAAACATTGTCCACAGAGATTATTAGGATCTTGTTCCTTCCTTCACACGGGCACTGGTAGATGCACAGCACTTCAAGGAATAGGAAGTTGTGAGTGGCTCCCTTATCAAATATTGTACACATTTAAGATGAAGATGAGCAGAATGCATCCAGCACCTAACATTTTCTGGATTCTAACATCTATAATGTCAAAGCACCTTTGACGTTTTCCTGCAGTGTCAAATGAGAGTTTCTATCAAGCCTTACCAGGGTCTTCCTATGTGCAAGTGATGTACTCATGCATGGGGAAGAATCATGCCATTGTTATTTCAATGCTAATTAACACCAGCTAGGAAACATATCAGTTTGAACTGTGACAATAAACAATTTTGAACCTGCCTGTTTTCTTGGAGTGACAATCATAAGGTATCTTTAATACTTACCTGATAGATTAACACTCCAAAGGGCACAAGGTTCAAAAATGTTTTATGAGTAAGTGGTTTACACTTAGTGATATGGATAAGTCTGCATTTTACATTGAAAATAAACCCTTACATAACTGGAAAGGAAGGTGGGTAAAATGCCTGGAATATTCTCACTACACACCTAAGACTGTACATTGGAATTAGCATATCCTAAGGGACAGAGACATAATTGGGGGAAGCCTTCATCTTTACTAAGTTACTGTCTGATAATTAAAACTCTTAAAATCAAAAATAAGAAAATGCTACATGCACAAATTAGTTTAACATACCCTTATGTTATCATCAGTTTCCATAGTGGCTTGCAGTTTCCCATTCACACTGAATACACAGAAATGCCCGTTGTCATAGTATATGACACAGTGTCCCTCTCTTGATGCCTGAATAAGTTTTGCTTTCAGACAGTTTTCAGGAGCCTCTAATGTCCTCAGTAAGTCTCCATTCATAGAATGTATGAGACATGGTCCTTCTAAAGAAAGAAGCAAAATCATCAGATATTTTGACATCAACATTTTCTGTACATACTATTATAGTACATATAATCTTATTGGATTGACTGCAGTTCTAATAGGAAAATAAACTGGTTTCCCTGAATACCCTAAAAGAGAACTTACAGCAGCATTATAACAATTTATTAAATATTTATCTCTCCCTTCCTTCAGGAAGCTCAAAACAGTGTCCATGTTTTCACCCTTTATCTTGAAAACAATGTTGTGAGGTAGCTTATACAGAGTGTGGGTTGGACTAGCCGAAGGCTAAACTAATAAATAAGTGGGGATTTGGACCTGTCTGTCTTCTCTTAGTCCAAAAATAAATGCTATACTCCTCTGGCTTGCTAGTGTAGCTATGCAACCTCATCCTTTGGAAACCAGTCTCCTGATACATATATTCTTAAGCACAAGACAGTTTATCTATTCTTGAAAAGGTAAATATGTGCAAGATGCAATTATTTCTAACACTGTTCTAACACTATTCTTCCCTACAGAGTTAGAGATCCAGATACAAAAGAAAAGACGTGACAGCCAGTTCACTATTGGTATATATTTTACTAGATGAACAAAGAAATTATGCAGAAGACTTCAGTCAAAACTATTGCTGTAATATATGCTGAATACAGGGTCAGTGTTTTAGATTTGTGATAACCAGGCTATGTCAGCTTCCACGTTCTCTTATCTTTAGTTTTGTTGAAATATCTGAGCTCCAGAGCCATAAAAATAAAACCATAACTCAATATGTGCTTATAAGGAACAAAGCTCTTGTTTGTTTATGTGAGAGCACAATTAAGAAAGGAACAATATGTTTTAAATCTAACTTGAGAACTGCAAGTGTAGCAGGCAGATAACAAAATGAAGATGATACATGGTAGATGAGTACAAGAATTTTGTTCCATTACCTTCCATTGGCTAGCCAGCATAGCCAATGATGAAATACTGCAGGAGTTGCAAACAAAAATAGCTGGAAGGCCATTGTTGCCCACCTTAGCCTATAGGGACAAGCTATACTGAGAGGAATGGGGCTTTTATAAATATATAGACAAATAAATTAGTGAGCCCACTGACGTATATCCATTTTATGGTTTGGGGCAAGCTGGCAGAAGTAATTCAGTTTGCCTTTGATAACCAGTCAACTCATAAATGTTAGCCTATGGAGAAGAAAAAGTAATGCAGCTGTTTCTATTGAAGGGAAACGATTCTCTGGAAGAATCCACACCCAGCATGGTAGCTGATTTCTGGACTAACACAGGGGAAATATAACTGCTACAAATGACATATTCATGTCTATATATATGATTGTGCCAAAAATGCCCTCCCTCCATGGAATGCACTAACACAGGGGAAATATAACTGCTACAAATGACATATATATGATCATGCCAAAAATGCCCTCCCTCCATGGAATGCCCTCTTGACTGAGATTTGTCTGGCGCCAACGCTGATGACATTTCGGCGCCAGGTCAAAACCTTCCTGTTCCTGAAGGCTTTTAATTGAAATAATATCAGCTGTGGGTCCAATGGCAATTTTTAGAGTATATATTTTTAATTGCATTTTAATTATTTTGCCTTTTTATTGTATTTTAAATGTTGTAAGATGCTCAGAGACCTTTGGGTAGTGTGGGCGGCATATAAGTTAAGTAAGTAAGTAAGTAAGTAAGTAAGTAAGTAAGTAAGTAAGTAAGTAAGTAAGTAAGTAAGTAAAAATGTGGAAATGCCTGCAAATATACCATAAAATACTGCAGTACTGGAGGTATCCAGAGAGAGACTAAACAAGATAGAAACCATAGGGAAACATGCTAGAAAATGAAAAGAGCCATGCTGGATGAGACCAGTGCTCTGTCTATTTCAGCATTCTATCTCACAGTGGTCGGTACCAACCAGATGTTCTCCAGAAGACCCCAAGCATGACATAAAGACAATAGCACCTGCCTTGTCCATTGACATGACATGAAAAAGAGAATGCAGAAATCATGGTGGAATGGAAAAAAATGTTCCATCTGTTTGAATACCTCTTGTTGAAAGAACAAATGGCAAACATAGTTTTAAAAACAACTATGGGAAATGATTTCTTTCTTTTCATAAATCATCATCATCATCATCATGTTCAAAGAGTGATAATATCAGTATTAAAGGAAGAGATCACGTCCAAGCAAAATTCTAGTACCTTTGGAACCACTGATTACCAGGCCAAGTTCAGCACAAATTGCCGCACAGGTGATTTCATAATCATGCCCTGTCAAGATGGCTCGAGGAGTAGCAGATTCACCTGCAACAAGATAAAAAAGATTTCTCAATTCCAACTGAATGTTTATTGCCTTTTGCCTTTGCCACTGCAGGTGCATGACCACATAGTATGATACAATAAAATATTTGGTAATACAGGTGCTACAAATGCACTGAAGAACTGTAAGAAAGAGTAAACATTTGTAAGTTTAAATGTAATTTACAAAATTATTTAAAACCCAGTTGAAAAATGTGCATCTAAAATACCTAAATACATCCTCCAATGACCCCAGAATTAACTTGTTCGTTCTCCCATAAAATCCTGTGCTCTTTGGTTCAAAGTTTTTATTCCAGTCCTCTTACTTGCCATAATGTGTAGATGAGATACATGTTCCTGCCAATAAGATAGCAGGCAAATTACAATGTTGTGAACAGACAAATCATTGCATTGTGTCACAAATTGCAACAACCAATACCCTTAGGCCAGAGGTATAGTGGGAAGAAAAGAAAGTACTGCATAAGAATCATCACCATCACTTTAGCAGAGCTGGAGGGGACCCTATGGATTATTGAGTCCAACCCGCCAAAAAGGCACAGTTGGGAATCAAACTCTCAACCTCTGGCACTGCAGCCAGATACCTACAGTTATCCAGCAGTTCTCAAATCTACACACCCGTTTTTGCAGAGGTAGTTTATTGCTTTCAGGGGTATTATGGTACCTGCCACAGTTCCTCAATCCCATGTAACTAATCTGTTTACTACTCATTCAACTTGTATAATGGTCCACACCAGTGTGTGTACAGGCTAATTCTCGTTAGCTAAGATGAAGCATTGAATATGGAACAGTTAGACCACTGAGACTCAGTTCAGGCAATAATGTAACTTGAGTTTCTGAGCACACATTATAACAAATCAAGATTTATACGTAGTTGTTTTCGCAATCAGCTTGCTTTGTGCAACCACTTCTATGAGGCTGAAGTGTCCAGTGGTTCTAAGTGTGGTTTGCCTGCCCTATGTTTTCCTTCTGGACAGGTTACCAATTTCGCCATCGTGCCAAACATACCATATACTTCTACTACTTAGAAATGCAGGAAGCTGACTTGCTCTGAGTAAGTCTGTCAACACCATCAAAACTGCCACCCTTGTGTTTCAGGCAGGAGTTTTCCAGTTTTACCTGAAGATACCAGGAATTAATCAGTGACATTCTAATCTGGACACAAGGGCAGCACTATGCTTAGGCTACTCCCAAGTGGTTGTATCTAGAGATGGGCATAAACTGCCAGTTCAGCTTTGTGCCAGTTCATTTTTCATTTGAACAGGTGTTCAGCACTTCGCTGCCCTGCCTCCTGCAGGTGCTGCCTCTTGAGTAAGTGCCTGCTGGAGGAGGTGGAGGTGGGAAGCACCAGACACCTACCTGAAAAAAAGAACCAGCACAAACCACTGAACTGGCAATTCACTCTTACATGTAGTTTTCCACAGAATCCATTCTCTGTTCTGTTTTACCAGACATTGCAAAAGACCAGCTTCTGTGTTGGTTGACATGTTGCATGGTAGCCTTCAAGAGTAGGGACAGCCACTGATTCACCCAATGGAAGGCACCAGAAATTCCCAGTTGTCTCCTGACATACTGGAACAGTCCATCACTAGTCTGGACATTTCTATTCTCTTTCAGCCCCAAAGTCCCATGCAAGTCAATTAGCTGGACTTTCTGTTCTGCAAGTGTTGCACTGGAGCTTGGCTTATCCATGCAATGTGTGTTCTACTGCTGAGCTTCACCTTCATTTTAACCATGAAAAATAGCAACTTACTTTGGCCTTTCAAAGTTTCCAAAACTCATATCTAATTCAGGGATAAGTAGGGCCAGAATATTAGCCTTACCTTTACTATCAAATGACTAGACTATGCCCTCCAACATCTGTGTATTGAGTGCAGATGCTGGAGAAGAAAAGCCTTTACACAGACATTAGGAAATGGAGTTAACATGGAAAAAATGGAAACAATACATCAGGGACACAACTGTGCAATCCTGCTACTACCTCAAACATATGAGTTACCCAAATGCGAATAGGATGTACCTTCCAGGGTTGGAAGCTTTCAAGACTGAACACTTTCCAGTTAAAAGTATCAGAAACCAAATGATATGGGGAAAACCTAGGCAGCTGCAATATCCAATGTGGTGTAGTGGACAGAGTGACAGATTAGGTTTCAAGAGACCTCTGTTTGAATTCCTACTTGCCCATGGAAATCCATGGGTGTGTGGTACAAATACTGAAAAATGTTATTTCCCTAGAAAGCCCTATTAGAGTCATTATAAGTCAACCCTCATTTGATAGTACCTAAAACACACACATAGGGCTACCAGTACGGAATACATATCCTGCAAAAATATACAACACAATGCTTATTGAGCTTAATGCATCAAGAACACCCTCAGCATTCACACTATATTTTTATTCAATTGTACAGCAATGTGGTTTCTATTTAAAGAATTGTCACTCCAGAAATTCTTTAAAAAAGACAACTTCAAACTGGACAACTTTAAAACAGCCATATATTTAAAAAAGGTTTTACTTCACAGAAGATTTTTCAAAATACACTTAACTCCAGGAAGTATGACCTGGGGGAAGAATTGGGGTTAGGGGAGGTGTCACATTAAAAGCGTAGAGCAAGAAGCATATATCTCCTTATGTTTATTATGTAGTGCCTCATCAAGTTTGAAAATCAGAGACAAGCTGTATTTTCTTCATGTGATATAGGAGAAAGCCTAACAGGATTTTTTAAAAAGTCACTGGGAGTAGAGACATAAATGACTGACTGGACAAAAAGGCCGCCCCACCTCAACCTTTAACAGTGGAATTGCTATGGGACTTTTACTGATATGTAGCCAAGATTATTTAAATTGCGTTTGTGTTCTGTTGTTTCCATGGAATGGATGGCAAAGCTCTGATCAATGTTTGGGGGTGGCTGGATGCAAACAAACTGAATTATGACCGAAATGATACACAGAGCTATACTGTTTAATATTAGAAATAGGGAGAAAATTGTTTTTTTAATTCAGAAACATGATTATCCCAGTATAAAGTGAACATGTTTAATGTATTCTCGAAGGCTTTCACGGCCTGGATCTGATGGTTGTTGTAGGTTTTTCAGGCAGTTTGGCCGTGTTCTGAAGGTTTTTCTTCCTAACGTTTTGCCAGTCTCTGTGGCTAGCATCTTCAGATGTCCTCTATGGCTGGCAAAATGTTAGGAAGAAAAACCTTCAGAACACGATCAAATAGCCCAAAAAACCTCCAACAACTACGAACATATTTAATTTGCACTTTCCATACCAATATATTTACTAAAACAGTTATTCTTTAATATTCGCATTTCTCCAGATTTTGTGATGAAATTCTCCAAAATGCATATACAGTGGACCCTTGACTTACAGACGGCTTGACTTACAGACTTTTTGAGTTACAGACTTCTCTGGCCACAAAATTTAGGTTTGACTTGCAGACTGAGATTTGACTTACAGACCAGAAAAAAACCAAAATGGAACAAAAACGGCTTGTTTCGGGATTAATCGGTTTTCAATGCACTGTAGGTCAATGGAGACTTGACTTACAGACTTTTTGACTTGAGAACCGCCTTCCAATACGGATTAAGTTCTCAAGTCAAGACCCCACTGTATAAGGGAAAGTGTACATGGACATGCATATATTACTGGAAGTAGCACAGAAGAATATGCTTTTGGGAGAAAGATGTTGAAATATGCAAATGAACATTTGTGCCAACTTTAAAAAAATACAAAGCGATATAGAGATGGGATAAACCAAATTTAAGAATGGAAACATGTGAAACAGAGCAACCAGAATTACAGAATCTTCCATCCACAACACAATCTGAAACAATATTAGAAAAAAATTCTCGTAGGTTTATCGGACATTACAAAAGGAACACACAGGCAAGAAACTCATACATCTGAAGGATAAGCATGCTCATTTTTCCTGTAAACGACAACATAAGGACGAATCACTTATTGCTTACACTGCACGAAGAAAGTCCACACATTTTAAAAAGGGTGCACCATAATAAGGGCCACCATCAGAGAGAGGTAAGATTTAATTTGTTTTATTTACATGCTACCTTTCTCCCAATCGGGCACTCAGGAGGAATGCAAACCCAACAAAATAAAACAAATCCCCCAATTGGGCACTCAGGAGGAATGCAAACCCAACAAAGGTACTAGTATCCCAGTAGTGCTGCTGGTCTCTAGTAGCATAAAGCAGGATTCTGTATTTGCATGCCTTCCCTCTTACAGATTAAGGGGATCCATTTGGCCAGGGCCCCTAGTTCAGACGAACTGCTTTATTGGTATGGGTTATATTTACATCTTTCAAAAAGCACTACACTCTGAAAATATTCTGAGCTCACATTACAAAGGAGTGATCAGCAGCACATGTTTATAAAGAGAGAAGCTACAACTCCTCTATTCAAAGAAATATGGAAGATATTATGAACTTGAATATTTAGAGAAATGGAAAGGGGGCAGCTCACATGTGAGGGGTACCTGAATGAGGTTTATAGAGAGCAGAGTTTAACTAATGATGTAATAGCAAATATTGAACTGCAAAATTTTCAACAGAAATATTAAATACAGTAACAAAAATATGTATGCTATTCAGTGCTGGACTGGTGTCTATTTCCTCAGATTATCCTGCTGGGGGTAAAAGACTGATTACCACATAAACATCTTCTTTAAGTTGTTATCATTATCTACAATGTTTTCATTTCAATAAATTTTAACATCTCAAAATAATATAATTAATTCTGATACATTACTAAATTGAATTTTGCATATTTATCATAAATCACATCCTGGCTAACTCTGTTGATTTGACAGTATCTACGTGTTTGTATATTATCTCTGTGTCTAAAATTTCCTTATTCCTTCTCCTCTCCAGTCCAGCCTTATGGAATAAGAGTCCTTTGAAAAGTCAGACTGGCTCCTTTGATAAAAATGTTAAGCATTTAGGAGTCTTCTTCATGCTTCTAATTTTT